ATTGAACAGATTACGCGCATGCTTGCAAGAGTTGTCAAGCCTAGCGCTGAGACCAAAACCTGGATAGTCATCAGCAGCAAAAGTGGCAACCTCATTAGCATAAAGGACCTGCTGTTCGACATCCTCGTCTTGAGGCGACATCTGGAGAAGGGTCTGCACAGCATTACGCAACCAAGACCAACCTTCAGCGAGCAGAACCTTCTCCGAGATGTTGGGGACTGGGTAGTCAACGCTAACCCACCTTGGTGCAATGTCTCTACCGAATCCTGCAAAGTTTATAGCATCTGCGCCCGTGCACTCAGCTACATACCTGGCAGTTCTTTTGGCGAAATGGCCCCAGGCAGCACTTAAAACTCCAAAAACCACCCCAGGATCAGCCTGCTCGTCATGAGCCAACTCCGAACAGTGATCGACGAGACCCTCGACGAACGACCAACTAGGGGGAGCAGGCTGAGGTCCTATGGGGGCTGTGACAGGAAGCTTGGGTGCGGCGGTGTATACCAGGTGCTGGATACCGTGCCCATCACTCGCAAGCTCCAAAATCACTGGGCGATGCGGACGCACTGTCCACTTCTTGTCAACGCTTACTGCTTTAAAGGCACGCATGCACGGATCATTGAGGCCGAAAAAATCGATGACAGAAGAACCCGTCCCACCTCTACACGTGTAGTTAGATGGGGAGACAAGGGTGGCACTTGCAAGAGCGCTGAAGCCGCACGCTTCCACAGCACTAGGTGTCATGTTCCAATCCCCCCCGACTAAACAAGGTCCCTCCACCCCGCTGAAACGCTTGCCAACTGCAGCCAAACACTTGGCATTCAGTGTGGTCGCGCCGATGCTCGGCACTAGGTAGAGGTTGATGGCATGCAACGGCGGCCATCCTGGCAAGCCAAGTACCACATGAAGCACACGATGCTGAACGACCTGCTCTTGGTGTCCAGTGGGAACTCGAACTCCACATTGACTTCGAACGAATACGGCAACTCCAGCTGTCGGTAATACACCTGCAGAGGGAAGAGCAGGCAGTGCCATCATCTGCCATCCTCGGCCGCTGATCCACGTCTGCAGCGACTCCAGCTCACTCTCCAGGTAGCCCGTTTCCTGCACCATGACAACCATAGCACGGGAGCGCTGAAGTCGCTTTTTCAGCGTCCGTTTGCCACCATTGGCATTGAAGGACTCCACCGTGTGAGACGGCGCCATCAGCATGGCTGGGGCTGCAGGCACCACACTCCTCGGTCGCAAACCCGTCACACGTGGTATCATCCTGCCCAGCTCCTTGTGACGGTCCACGCCAGGGTCGGCATGGTGCGAATCTGCCGAGGCTACATTGAGGCTAGGAGCTGCACTTTTGCCTCTTGACCTGCAACTCAGTGATCTTCGCCTGGAAATCTTCGAAGGTGTCTGCGCCCCAGAGCTCCTGCAAACTGTTGTCATCAAGCTCGGAGTAAGTGCGCTTGTCAGCGGCACTGTCGCCTGTTGGAGCTGCAGGCATCTCTGAATCAGGGGGGCTCGCATCCACAGCGCCTCCAGACTCACCTGCAGCTGCAGCCCCACCAGTACCATCAGCATGGCCAACCACACGAATATTCTTCTGAATCTCTGCCCACGCTGCACTCTTGAGAAAGGCCTCGACACCCTCGTACTTGGAGAACATCTGATCAAGGTTATCGATCTCAATCTTGATTCCTGCTGAGGGTGCCTTCGCCTCACCGGACTCGGCAGCCAGTAAAGCAGAGGTACGAGCAACTTCATTAACCAACTCTGCCACTTCAACACGCTTTGCCTCGAGCTTCGTCTTACGCTCCTCGATGGAAAGACGCAACTCCTCGAACTGCTTTTCTTTTTCTTCCAACTCTTTCGCTTGTCTGGCCACCGCTTGACGTGCACGCTGCAGCTCATTGGTGGCCCTCCGATGCGCCGTGGTAGGGTTACGCAGCTCTTTGATACTGCCACGAAGAACATCCAACTTAGACTTGATGTTTGACCGCAACTCATCAAAATCTTCTCCTGCAGGGACCTTCTTGAGCGATTCCTCCAAATCATTAGCCTGCACAACCAATCGACCTCTTTTCGCATCATCAGACCCAGGGTCGGCCTGTTGTGCAGCTTCAGCGGCTTCTCGGTCACGAGACACTTGATCCTTATACCACGGTGCTCTCTTAGCTTTTCCCTCAGGCTTGTCAGACTTGTCAGGCAATTCTCCACGTCCAAGCGCTTTGACCAGTTCATCCAGTTGCGCCCGTACACGTGAGAGCTCATTCGATGCATCTTTGCCTTGACTTCTTCCCTTGACACGCCCACCTGCATTTCCCAACTCGGGCTTGGAGGCGAGCTGCTTCTGGTGCGCCTCCTGGGCGCGACTGCGAATGTGGGCTGGCGCCATGTTGCCGCACCTGCAACGAATGCGGCTGGCCCAGTTGTGAGCAGCTCCGCACCGCCCACAAGCCCACTCAGGACGACGAGGACCCAGAAGGACGTCGTCATCACTGGCCATGGAGCGCTCCCGCGGGAGCAGAAAGGGGCTGCCAGCAGCTGCTGCGCTGGCGGGGCCTCCCGCGGGAGCTGAAGCCAGCAGCAGCGGGTGTCTGCTGGCAAGACTCGAACAACAAGGCCCGCGAACGCGGTGCCGCGCTGAGTTCTCGCGTTCGCAACCCCCTGAATCGCTCGAGGGGGCAGCACGGCTAAGGAGGGAGGATGAGGATGAGGAGGAGGAGGAGGAGGAGGAGGAGGTGGAGGAGGAGGAGGAGGAAGGAGGAGGAGGAGGAGGAGGAGGAGGAATAGGACCAATGTAAACCCAAGAGTCATCAACAATGTTGGAATTAACTCTCCTTCAAGATCCCTCTTCATAGGCCCCTACAACAGTTTATTTACATTGAGGGAATTGCCTCGTTGGAAGACAATCGTTTGAATGCCTTGAAGCATGCCAGAACATTGTTCTCGGGATTTCCACGCCACGGATCAACCTGATTGCTTCGTCCAGACGATCTGGAATCGCGCCAGAACGCCATTTTTGGGACGTCAACACCGCGAACCAACACAACTGTTGCACCCGCAGAAGCCTGACCTCTTTCCAAAACACCATGTCTGGTACGCTGATCATGAGAAGCCGTTACATGCTTGCAATGTTTTAGAACGACTGTGTGCGGCTCTAAGGCGAGAACCACATTTTGACAATGAACCGCCCTGAATCCGTGAAGCTCTTGCAAATTTTTAAAACGAATGTGCGCGGTGCTAAGGTGAGAGCCACATGTTGAAAACCACCGGCCCTTAGCCAGTGAAGTTCTCTTACATGTTTGGAACGAATGTGCGCGGCGCTAAGGCGAGAACCACAGTTTGAAAACCATCCGCCCGGAGGACGAGGAGGAGGAGGAGGAGGAGGAGGAGGAGGAGGAGGACAGGAACAGGAGCAGGATGAGAAGGAGGAGAAGGACGAGGAGGAACGGGGGCCGCCGCCGCCGCCGTCGAGGTCGCCGTCGCCGCCGCCGTCGTCGCCGTCGTCGTCGTCCTCCTCCTCGACCTCCTCCTCCTCCTACTCCTCCTTGTTTGGTTGGAGGGGCGAGCTGGCTGGGGGAGGGAGCTCGTTGGCGGGCAGCGCGGGGCCGCCCCTCTGAGGCTATCCGCCACGGCGCGCTCCGCATCGAGGCCACCGACCAGGAGCCGCCGCCGCACGGCGACGCCGACGCCGACGCCGACGCCGACGCCGACGCCGACGCCGACGCCGACGCCGCCGACGGCGGCGACGACGACGACGACGGCGGCGACGACGACGACGACAGCGGCGGCGACGACGACGACGATGACGCCCTGCCCCTTCTACTTCCCTCCCCGCTCCCCGCCGCTCCCGCTCGCTCCTCGCCGTTCCTCCTCGCTCCTCGCTGCTCCTCATCGCTCCCCAGCCTCCTCGCTCGCTCCTCGCCGCTCTTCCTCCTCCTCCTCCTCCTCCTCCTCCTCCTCCCTCCTCCTCCTTCTCCTTCTCCTCTCCTCCTCCTCCTCCTCCTCTTTCTCCTCCTCTTTCTCCTCCTCGCTCCTCCTCCCCCTCCTCCTCCTTCTCCTCCTCGCTCCTCCTCCTCCTCCCCCTCCTCGCTCCTCCGCCGCGCTCCTCGTCCTCGTCCTTTCTCGGTTTCGCCTTCTCCAGCCCTCGTCGTTCCTCTTCCTGTCTCCTTCTCCTCCTCGTTTCTCCTATTCTTCCTCCTCCTCCTCCTCCTCCGCCTCCTCCTGCCGCCTCGTCCTTCTTCTCCCCCTTTTCCTCGCTCATCCTTCTCGTCGTCCACATGGCTGTGCGGCGAGGGCACCTCCCCTCTCTGTGCCTTATTTTGGCTCCAGCCCGCGCCCCCGTCGGGGCGGGGGCCCTCCTTGCTCGGGGGGGCCGCTGGGTGGTGCGCACTGCATGCGCCCGGGAGGAGCCGGGCTGATCGTGCCCGGGCCTGGTCGACGTCGCTCGCGGGCGCGACCGAGGGCGTGCGGGTGCTCCTGGCGCGCGAGGGGCTCGACGTGCCCGGGCGTTCCGCCGCCCTGAGCGACCTGGCGCCTGACGGCCCGGCGAGGGCGCTCGGCGTCAAGGCTTGTCGTGAGTGGCGCCAGCCTCCCGGGGAGCGCCGGCGAGAAGCCCCAAGAGGGGGGGGGGCTTCGCCCCGTCGGCGTTGGGGGCCGCGGTTCGACCCCCGTCGGGTGCGGAGACAGGCGATGGGTCGGGTGCTCCGCCTGGAAGAAATGGTGCATGTAGGGTCGGTGGGGGCGGGGACCAAAACGGGGAGGAGGAGGAGGAGGAGGAGGAGGAGGAGGAGGAAGAGGAGGAGGAGGAGGAGGAGGAGGAGGAGAAGGAGGAGGAGGAGGAGGCGGAGGAGGCGGAGGAGGAGGATAAAAATAATAAACGTAAAAATAATAAGACGAATACTAACAATAATATCAGCAATAGTACAAATAAGGAAGTAATACGAATAACAATAATAATACTACGAATTATAAGGAGCATCGAAAGCGCCACGCCGAGCGGGATCATGGTGAGCAGCTGCACGACTCCGACACGAACCTTTGTGGCGAGTCGGATGTCAAGAGAGCTCTTGCTCTTCGAGGCGCGCGGGGACATTGCCAGCACCACGCCGAGCGGCATCATGTGCAGCAGCATGGATCTGGCGTCCGTACATCGAAGTAGCACGTCGTGCGCCGGCAGCACGAAGTGCAGCAACGGCATGATGGTGGGCAGCAGCACGAGGCGTACGTCCACCATCCGGACGAGATGTAGCTCGTGCAGTCACGCTCTGAGCATCGCGTCTAGTACTGGCAGCTCGATTCTGAGCGACACGCGGATGGCCAGCACTGGGAATTTGACCTCCCTCTGAGGGCGAGGCGCTACTGCGCGTGCCCGGATATAGGGCATGCGAGCCGTGAGCGGGCTTTCCTCTTTCTCCTGCCTCCTGCTCCTTCGGCACCAGCGGCTTTTCCAGATGGTGGCTTGTCGCGTGAGTCCGCGCACATGCCATATTTTGAGACCACGGCCGTCACGACGTGTGATGATGGGTACGGGCGGACTCCCCAGCGGAGCGCGCAAGACTCCTGCGCGCGTTCGTCCGCTCGTTCCCACCGCCCCCTCGGGGACTCTGGCTTCGAATGCAACTCCTGGGAGGTCAAATTCTGGCCTTGCCCCTGGTCCGAGATCCGGCCTGATCCGGCTCATTCCCGCCGAATCCCGCTTCATCTCGTTCGTTCTTGCGCAATCCCGCTCAATCCACGGCCTAATCCGGCGTAGCAGCCCCCCAAAGGGGCTTGATTATTCTTATAATCATTCCGACAAGAACCTCTCGGTAGTTGCCTCCTGACCTGGGCTCGGGGGGGCCGGTCTGGTCGGCTCCTGCAGGCGCGGCCAGGGCAGTGGGGGCCAGTTGGCCCCTTCGTGTGGCGGGGGAGCGGCGCGCGCAGCCACTCGCGTCTGCTTGCCCAGAGGGCCGAACGGCCAGCAAAAGCGCTTCAGCGTTCACGCCTGGTCCGATGCTGCAGGGAAGCTGGAGCAGGGTGCCCGGGCCAGCCCTTTCGCTCTCTCCGGCCCTGGTCGGTATTTCCCTTTCGTGTTTTTTTTCAGCCCTGGCGACCCAGTCCCAGCTGTTTTGGGCCTGCTGCAGCCCCTACCAGATTTTCCAGCCCTGGCCCCTTCCACTTCCATGGAATTTCCAACATCCACTGCGGTGGAGGCGTTGGTTAAGGAATGTGCCCAGAGGGCTGCAGACCCTGGAGGATTCCTTGTCTGATTAGGGCGGCTGTGATATCGCTGGCCAATGCACGATTGGAGTTCCACCAGCCTCCAGACCCTGGATTCCTTATCCAATGGTTCCTTATCCCATGCCCTCACCGTGTTTCAGGCTTCTCTGTGCAGGCGGCGCACGCAGCTTCTGTTCCAAATCTGCTGCGCCTGCGCGCCCGTGCGCGTCGAGGGGTGTTCTGGCGCCTGCTTGGCGGGATGCTGCCGTCGGCAGGGCTTGGCCTGCCCTCTGATGGCAGTTTTTCTATATTTTTGTTGTTCTCTTTGTTTTCTCGTTTCTTTTAACCCAATCAGAGCTTGTCTCTGTAGGTGTCCCAGCGGATTCATATGGTTAGGTGAGGTTTGGCGCCGATTTCGGCGGCACGCCCGGGTGCCCGGATGCCCCGGTGCCCAGGTGCCCAGGTGCCTGGGTGCCCCGTTGCCCGGGTGCCCGGGTGCCCGGGTGCCCGGATGCCTGGGTGCCCAGGTGCCCCACTGGCCCGGTGCCCAGTAGCCCTATAGCCCCATAGCCCTATAGCCTTATAGCCCTACAGCCCTATAGCCCAATAGCCCTATTACCCTATAGCCCTGGTAGCCCTATAGCCCTGTAGCCCTAATAGCCCAATAGCCCTATAGCCCTATAGCCCTATATCCCTATAGACTTATAGCCCTCTAGCCCTATCGCCCCATATCCCTACAACCCTACAGCCCTATAGCCCTATGGCCCTATAGCCCTATGTCCCTTAGCCCTATGGCACGATAGCCAAATAGCCCGATAGCCCTATATCCCTATATCCTTATAGCCGAATTGCCCTACAACCCAACAGCCCAATAGCCCTATACCCAATAGCTCTATAGCCCTATGGCCCTATAGCCCTATAGCCCCATAGCCCTCTAACCTTATAGCCCTATAGCCCCATCGCCCTATAGCCTTACAGCCCTGCAGCCCTATAGCCCCTAGCCGAGGGCGGCACGATATTTGCAGGGATTTCGCGGGCGGGTCACGTGCTCGATTTCTTTTTGGGGAGTGCTTCTGTGGTGGGCAAGAAATTTGGTCCTGCCAGAGGGGTCGCACCTAGTCCCCGAGTGCGGGGTTAGGCCTGGGCATACAGGGAGACTCTCGAATTCCACGGCGCGTGTTTCGTGCAGACTCTTACCAGTCCCACCTACAATTTCGCAGATGCCAGCGGATGCGAGGGCAGAAGTGATGCTCAACGTTATGGTGGCTTGGGCCTGGTTCAGTTTCGCACCTTGGACAGCAGGATGCGCATAGACATCGGAGTGTCTCTTTTTGGGTTGATATCAGCCATGCCTGGATAGGCTTATTTGCATCAGCTCGCATTCGTGAGGACTACCTGCGTTGTTGCGGGTAGCGCTGCAGTGTGGGCAGGCTGTACCACGGGCGGACCCATAGCCCTTTGCAGCGAGAACGCATGAGCTGAATTTCGCGAGCATGGGGACGCAATGTCGTGCTCGATCCTTGCACACGCACACGCACGCACGCACGCACGCACGCACGCACGCACGCACGCACGCACGCACGCACGCACGCACGCACGCACGCACACACGCACACGCACACGCACACGCACACGCACACACACACACACACCACACACACACACCACACACACACACACACACACACACACACACACACACACACACACACACACACACACACCACACACACACACACACACACACACACACACACACACACACACACACACACACACACACACACACACACACCACACACACCACACACACACACACACACACACACACACACACACACACACACACACACACACACACACACACACACACACACACACACACACACACACACACACACACACACACACACACACACACACACACACACACAACACACACACACACACACACACCACACACACCACCACACACACACACACACACCACACACACACACACACACACACCACACACACACAACACACACACACACACACACACACACACACACACACACACACACACACACACACACACACACACACACACACACACACACACACACACACACACACACACACACACACACACACACACACACACACACACACACACACACACACACACACACACACACACACACACACACACACACACACACACACACACACACACACACACACACACACACACACACACACACACACACACACACACACACACACACACACACACACACACACACACACACACACACACACACACACACACACACACACACACACACACACACACACACACACACACACACACACACACACACACACACACACACACACACACGCACACACACACACACACCCGTAGCCATTTTGGCTCAAGCCTGCCTTGAGCAGGAGGTGCGCGGCGTGGTCTCTCCCTGTAGAGTCCCGTCGCCTCGGCGGGCACAGAGAGCGGCTCTGTCCCTTTCCCCTCCTTGTCGCGGCCCCTGCGATGGCGGCGGTGCCCGACGACGGCAAGGCAATGGATCTACGGTCCAACAGCGGCGCGGAGCTGGTCTTGGCGATGGCCGTCCAAGGTGCTGCTCAGGGAGCTGCGGCGGGCGGCGCCTCGCGGCAGGCGATAGCCGCCGCGGTCGCTGCCGCGCTCCGCACGACATGGGCGCTGCTGGCAGAGGTCGGCTCCGAGGAGGACGCCGAGCTTGCAATGCGCTGGCAGGCCATGGAGCCCGCCATGCGCCAGCAGCCGCGGGGCGCCCAGCCAGGCGGCGCCGCTCGCGCCAGGCGCAACGTCGGGGCGCACGTCGACCTCGGCAAGGGCGTCGAGGCCTTGCGGCAGGCCCTGGCGCAGCCGCAGCGGGCCCAGCGCGGAGGGCGTTGCGGGCCCCGCGTGCCGGCGCCGCCGGGCCCGGTGGCGGCGGACGCGACGGAGGACCACGCCGACGGCGTCGAGCTGGGGGGCACCAGCCTGGACATTGGGGAGCCCGACGCGGACGAGTGCGAGGGCACCGACCAGGTCATCGACACCCCGGAGGGCCAGCTGCTGGGCGAGGTTCCGCCTTCCTCGCAGCTCAGCGCAGCGGTTGGCGAGGACTCGGAGCTGGACGTGGACGAGTGCGAGGGCACCGACCAGGTCGTGAACAGCGCCGAGGTGCAGCATGTTCCTGAGGCGCCGCGGGACGTCGAGCCTGGGGGCGACGGCGGGTGCGACGCCGAGGAGCAGCTGATGGTCGACAAGACGGAGGGGGCGAGGGCGGCAGCAGCCGAGGAGGAGGACGACGGCCTCTACGACGGCCAAGACCTGCCCGTCGACGGTGTCGGCGGCATCGGCATGGAGTACGGCTGCACCTTGGAGGGCAAGGAGGGCGAGAGCATCTTCAGCGACGCCGTGCAGGCTCGCGTGCGGGGCTACTTCTCCTTCGTCCTCAGGGTCGCCTTGCTGCTGTGCGTGGCCTTCTGCCCGTACGCCATCTTCGACTGGGGCATGGGCCTTGCGTGCGTCACACAGCTCGCGGGTCGGCCCTGGCTAGCTTCCGCCCCGTATGTGATCGACCTAGGGCCTTTGCCCGACCCGTACCACGCGGCCCGCCAAGCCTTCCCGAAAGGTGGAGAGATGCGCCTGGACCTGACACTGTGGACCTTGGAGGAGGAGCACGTGCTTGAGTTCCTGGTGGAGCGGCGGCGCAGGCTGGAGCACGCGCTGGCCGTGGCTAGGCGCGACGGGGTGGCTCGCACCATTGACGCCGAGGACGCCGAGGACATGGCGCTGTCCTTGCGGAGCGTCTCGGAGGACATTCGCGAGCTTGAGGCGTGGAGGCCTCATGAATTCGATTCGGGATAGCCCGCGTGGACTTTCCTTGACGCCTCGGGTACCCGCCGAATCGAGAGCAGCGAGAGGCCAGCTGCGTGGACGGTCTCAGTGCAGCAAGAGTGCCAGCTGCGCGGATGGCCTCATGATGCTGGAATGGCCGTTGCGCCATCGTCGTCGGGGTGCGGGTTCCGCCTCTGAGTGGCCCCAGCGGTAGTGACAGTGCCCCCCTTGGCGCGGCGTCCGCCGTGGCTGAGGGGCCTGAGGGGGTGTTCCCTCGGGGTGCCTGGGCCCGCA